TGTTGGTGGGAGCAGGAGAGGAGAGGGTGGCCCCACCTGGTCGAGCTCCCAGCAGACACTGTGGCCACCCACACCAACCTGTCGGCCTGAGGCAGACAGGCTTCTGAAACATCAGCGATACAGCTCTGCACCCCTGCCTCCCCGGGCCAGGGCACTCCTCAACCAGGGACAATTCTGGCCTGTGTCACAGTGTCTTAATGTCAATCACAAGATGATTCTAAGCACGCTTATGGTATGAAGCTGTTACTGCAGGGAATGGTGGCATCCCCCAACCACAGGCTCCAGAAATGCACGCCCGTCTCTCTCAGAAGGTCCCGGACAACACCAGAGTGGCACAGGCAGGACCACATGGAGGCAGGCTCCTGCTCTCAGGGGCTGACAGTCTGCAGAGGAGGGATGGGGAGACTGTCATCCCTCCATGGGGATGGAGGCAATGCTGTTTGCCAGTTTTGGCAAACAGCATTGCTTCCTGGGGCCTCAAAAAAAGTGTCCTGGGGCAGGGCACTACAGACGACTGAAGGGTGGGAAATGGTCCCTGTAAAGGCCCAGAGACAGACTCTTGGTTCAGAGGAGGAACTGAAAACCAGCTGGCACCAAGCCTCCATTCATCTACTACTACCGGACCAGGACTTCTCAAACCAAGGCCAGGTCCCGACCCGCCAGGGCAGCAGCAGGGGTGCTGACAGGGAGCACATGACTTCATGACTTCAAGGCAGCATCAAAGGAAGAGAGGGGAAGGAAAGTGTGGCGTGTCCACACTGTGAGACAGTGTGGGGAAGAGGAATGGAAGGAAAGAGCAAGAGAAGCAGCTGTTTCACAGCAGAGGCGGGCAAAGCTCCCACGGCAGCTACAGGAAGGGAAGGAGCTGGCAGGAGCCAGGCAGGAGGAGAAAAAAGGTGTTTTCCTTTATATTATATAGGTACACCCAATTAAGATGCCAAGTATTAGAAAAGACATTAATATTGACTTAGAAACTTCCAGATACAATATTCTCATTTTGATGAGCATGGCTTTTTTTTTTTTTTTTTAAGATTTCATTGGGGAATTGGGGGAGGGGAACAGACAAGTTGCTGTCGTTTTGTTCTTCAGTCTAGTTGTGGAGGACGTTGCTTCACTGGCCCAAGCTGGCACCATCACTGCACTCTTCCCGGGCGAGGCAGATCAGTCGCCGGCCTCTGGACGGCTGGCTGCTCACTGCGGCTGCTGGCCGCTCACGCTGGCTGCCGGCTACACACGGTAGCCCATGGCAACCCACTGCAGCAGGGGCTGCAGTCTAGCCATCCCTGGCAACTCATGGCAGCCCAGCTCCAGGTTGAGCTGTTGTTCAGCATCTTAGCTGCGGAGGGCAGTGTCACTGCCCTCTGTGGGATCCAAACCGGGGCCCTCTGGCATCCCAAGCCAGTTCTTAACCAACGCGCCATTCGTCCGGCCTAAGCATGACTATTTGATACTGGTTTTCCATGTGACAGGGATCCGAACAATTCTTGAGAAATTTGAATCTGGATTCCTGGTGGCCACTCCTTTCAATTCTTATTTATGGAGCGCGACAAGTGCTATGAACAAGAGAAGACAAAACAAAATCCGGGAAGGACTTGGTTCACACTGGCTGTGGCAGCAAATGGAGCAGTGTCTGTCTCTAATGGAGGGAAACTTTCCTCACTGTTCCATTGGCTAACGCAATCTTTTAAATTCTTCCTCAAGGCAGCAATGCTCCTTCAGTCTGGTGTTTCCTTCTCCTCCATGGATGTTGCCAGTCTTGAAGATGGGGTGCCCAGGACACCCCATCACATTGAAACATTTTTGTATCAAATATCTGGCAGCGGGCTGGCCGAGTGGCGCATTGGTTAAGAGCTGGCTTCGGACGCCAGCTCTGAGCAGCAGGGCCCCGGTTGGGATCCCACATGAGGGCCAGTGACACTGCCCTCTACAGCTAAGATGGTGAACAGCAGTTTGACCTGGAACTGGGCTGCTGTGAGTTGCCAGTGACGGCGTAGGCTGCAGCGGGGCTGCAGTGGGCTGCTGTGAGCTACGTGAGTGGCCGGCAGCCCGCGTGAGCTGCCGGGAGCCGCTGTGAGCGGCCGACCAATGACCGACGACCAATTGCCTCACCCGAGAAGAGCGCAATGATAATACCAACATGGGCCAGTGAAGCAATGTCCTCCACAACAAAGCTGAAGAACAAAAACAACAATTTGTCTACCTGTCTGTTCCCCTTCCCCGATTCCCCAACGCTGTTCTCTTCCCCCCAATTCCCCAATTTAAAAAATCTGAAAAAAAAAAAAGACAGTAACTTGTCTGTTCCCCTCTCCCAATTCCCCAATAAAATCTTTAAAAAAAAAATCTGGTGGCGATGTTGTTGTATTTTTTCTCGTGAACTTTGTTTAGGATTCAAATTAATACTGACCAAACATATTACTATATCACTATTTTCACTTTTCCAAAGTTGGATTTTGCTGCAAAGCCACACATTCACTCACTACACATTAGTTTATGTTTACAGTCCTCACAGTTTTTATTTTTATCACATTCAGGTGTTCCAAGGTGTCAGTCCAGTTATTGGTTTTTCAGCCTACACTGGAATGGAAAGGTAAATTATTCACACAACTCTTTTTAGTCTTTAGCTTGTAAGCTTTTGACAAAATGTGTCCTTCGCCAGTCAATGCCATTCAGTATGAAATAGAGCAGGGGTCTGCTCCTATTTGTCACCATGAAGATAAAAACGGGCCTGGACTGCTTGGACTCCATGAGCTTAACTGTCAATAGCCTCGCTGGACCAGATCAGACCTGTGTGCTCCCTGTGGCTGGGTCACCTCTTGCCAATAAAATGGCTTTCTCACTTGTGAAACTAACCAAGCAGCCAGATAATAATATACCTGTGGACTCAGCAATCAGAAGTGAGGGTTTTGTTGGTTGGTGTGTCGCTGTCATGTCACAGAGTCAGTGTGTCCACTGACATTGCTTCCTCAGTCCCAAGAGCAGTATTGACAAATTCTACATGGTTGGGTAGAATGAGCATGTCTGCAAGTGTGTAAGGCATTTCATCTCTGACAACAAATCATAGGCCGCTGTACCTAACTTCAGTTAGGTACAATTTGACACTAATATAATGAAGGTCATTTTTTTTTTTTACAGCAGCTTATTTTTAAAAATCTCTATGCTTTTTTTTCTGCCTAATTTTTTTAAGCTTTTATTGGGGAATTGGGGGAGGGAACAGCATTGGGGAATCAGGGAAGGGGAACAGACAAGTTGCTGTCGTTTTGTTCTTCAGTCTAGTTGTGGAGGACACTGCTTCACTGGCCCATGTTGGTATTGTGATCATTGCGCTCACTCCAGCTGAGGCAGACCGGTCACCGGCCATTGGATGGCCACTTATGATGGCTCACAGCAGCTCACACCAGCTGCCGGCCGCTCACGCTGGCTGCCGGCCACTCACGGTAGCTTACAGCAGCCCACTGCAGCCTACACCGTTGCCGGTGACTCATAGCAGCCCAGCTCCAGGTTGAGCTGTTGTTCACCATCTTAGCTGTAGAGGGCGCAGCGTCACTGGCCCATGTGGGATCTGAACTGGCGGCCCTGCCACTCAGAGTTTGCACTCCCAAGCGAGCTCTTAACCAATGAGCCACTCGGCCAGCACCTTTTTCTGCCTAATTTAGGTGTTGCTGGGGGAAGCATCATGAGGTATGCTTGGTACCACTGCTCCATTTGGTAACTTCTCTGTGCAAACAAGACATTTAGGCTGAAGATGAGAACACTCAAGCTATATGGCTACATGATTGAGACAGTCACTGAACTGCCTAATCAGTGACTTTTTGTTTTTGACCAGTATTAGTCTTGTGAATTTGATGACATTCTAAGTTTAATAAACATGTGGGAAAGTAAATATCTGTAAAAATGAAATCTATTCCTGAAACAGAAAAAGGACTATAGAAAAACTCAGAGAAAAAAAAAGACTGTAGTTTAAGTTAATAGCATTATTGCAATGTTAATTACTTTGTTTTGATAAACATATGATATTAACACTGGGGAAAGCTGGGGGAAAAGTATATGGGAACTCTGTGCCATCCTTGCAACTCCTCTGTAAATCTAAAATGATTTCAAAATAAAAAGTTACAAAAACAATCTATTAAATATAAAATCCTTAAGGAGACTATACAGGCTTCATGGCTTCAGGAAATGGATAAAAAAAACATGAAGGCCTTCAGAAATATTCTAAAATGTTCTAAAACAAGTTGCCCTGAAAAACTAAAAAATTAAGCATACAGCTTATAAAAATAGGAAAATTTAAATGCTAATTTTAATTCAATAATTAAAATTGAAAATTTAATAAAATATAAACTTACTCTTGTATTAAAAATTATTTTTGAAAAACTGATTTTCTGAAGCCTGAAAGGAATGCAGTCCATTTAAACGAATTATTGAATAAACTAAACTATATTGAATTTTGTTTTTAAAATAAACTTTTAAACATTTCTAGAAAAATAAATGATAATTCATTATGCAATTCTATAAAACTTTGGCTAATTTTTATCAAAAGCTAATAATAAATAATCAAGAATAATAGAGAATACTTTTAGTTTAGCTAAATTTGGAAGAAGAAATTCAAAGAAAGGGACTATTTTGTATGCACACACAAAGATCTCATGATATAGAAATCATGACTAAGTAGCAATTGCCCTCCCTGGGCTGGATCTCTGAGAAGGCTCATGGAGCCCTTAGGGCAGCCACAGACAATCCTCGGGACTTACTTACCGGAAAGCATCCCTGAACTGGGGTTCAGGAAGTTTGCAGAGGAAGCCATGCAAATAGTGTTCAAATATACCTTCAGCTGCTTCTAAGAGGCTATATTTTTAAAAGGCCTTTAATGGTCCAGTGATAAAGCATTGCCAAGTATTGTGGGATGCAGTCTCTTGGGCCCCATTTGGTGACACGACTGGTGCAGCAGGGGGGCATAACCCCTGGAAGCCCCTCTGGATGAAGAGATCAAACTTGGACCCTTGGAGTTCATGTAATGAGACAGTGTTTAATGAACACCAAAACACAGGCGAGGTTCAGAGAAAGGGGATGTGGTAAGGGCTGCAGTGGTCTGTGAGAGGGGGTGAGTGGTGACAGCATCTCTCCCCTCACAGCCTCTCAACAGTCCCATGAGGACAGCAGAGGATGGCTGGTGTCATTTTACAGTTGGGGAAACTGAGCTCCAAACAGGTTCATTGGCTTGGCCAAGGCCACACAGGGTTCCTGCTCCTTCCTTCAGCACCACTGTGGCCTGGCTGAGGCTTGAGTGGGTGGGTAGAGGGAGGATGAACACCACACAGGAAGCACAGTGCATAAATGGACAGGGGCACGGCATATAGGGGCACTGAGGGGGCTGTCTGGAACCAAGTGGGGTTGGGTTAGGGGCAGGACCTCCTGGCACCTGTAGCCCAGGCTGCCACAGCACACATGCTTGGGTGTCTGCTTCTCTCCTCTGCTCTCCAGGGTGCCCAGGCCCTCAGAACCAGCTGAGGGAGGTCACAGGGCACCTACTGTGCAGGGGCCCAGTCCGGTGCAGGGCCAGGCAGGGCAAAAGGGGAGAGGTGGCAGCACAAGAAAACCATGCTATGTGGCCGACCAGAGCTGAGAGGGATGCAGAGGGAAGACACATGCCATGCGAAGGGGCGTGTGGGAAAGGTGTCATGTGGGCAGGGAGCTGGGGAGGATGCAGTCCTGGTACACAGGAGTGTGGGGCCCAATGAAGAGGAGGTGGGTAGGGCTGGGTAAGACCAGAACACCACTCTAAGGGGATCCTGGGGCCCAGGTCACTGCAGCGACATAGAGAAGAAATGGGGCCAATGCAGAGACTGTAGGAGGCTCCGTCTGGAGAGAAAAAGGGCTGGAGAAGGGTCCATGGGTCCAGGCTTCTCCAGGCAAGCACCTGGAAATGGAGTTGGCTGATTTGGGGTGGGTCGCAGAGGGCCCTCCCCTGGCCATCCTGGGTGGCCTCTCCAAGTGTGGATACACAATGAGGCCCCACAGAAGCTTCCGGCTCTGCAGAAACACAAGGACACATGATGTCCCTTTTGGCCCTTCATCCCACTGGCCCTTGGCCCTCCCTTGGGAAGGGCCCAGAGCTCAGCACAGATCTTGTCCTTCTCTTCACCCTCTTTCACCTTGTGGTTACTGTCCAAGAGGCAGCCCCAGGAGGCCAGTGTGGGGAGGAGGGAACTGGGTCAGAAGCCCCAGGCTGATGCTCCTGCCAAGGAACAGTCCCCAGGGCACCTTTCTCTTCTCCAGACCAACACACAGCAGCAGGTCAGGCAGGGGGCTGCCTGGCCCTCCATGGGAACCATGCTAAGAGGCACCAGCAGGGGGTGCTATATACCCACACTTGGCAGCAGGCTCCTTCTGCCTTTCTACTGTCTCAATCCCCAAAGGAGGAAGGCTCAGGGGCTGCATGAGAAGCCCTTTCCAGGCCTTAGGCACAGGATACCCCCACAGAGGGCAGCCAGGGCCCTAGTCCAAGGTGGAAGCAGTGGCAAGTCTGAGCAGGTCCTAGCAGGGCCAGGAGGGACAGGCAGGGCCAGCTGAGGCCCTGGCACTTCTGCCCAGCACCAGAGCCCCAGCTGCACCCCAACGCTGTCCATGCATGTGGAGGGGGTCTTCACTCACTATCTCCTCCCTGAAGAGGGGGCCTGGCCACCGCCCCACCACCCACCCCACAGCGGCAGCTCAGTCACCATCAGTGCAGGCCTGTCACTGGGTGTCAGGATCCTGGAAGCCCCAGGCCTCCACGGCAGCGATGAGGAAGTTCTCAGAGCAGAGGGGTTGGTTGTTGAAAGTGTCGCAGTGGCCCGTGCGACCCCGGTTCAGGTCCCCGTCAATGTAGAGCGCCTGGCCGCCCCCTCCACCTGCAGGATGTTCAGTCAGTGGCTGCCCCTCTGTCTGGCACCGCCCCCGAGGCGCTTTCCTCCCGCCCTAAGCATTTCCACTGTCCCTGCCATGGACCTACCAGAGGCCTCTCTAAAACCACAGCTTTGACCTTTCAAAGCCCACCAGCCCTCGGCCAGGGTCCAAGCTCCTGGCTAGAACCCTCTTCCCAGCTTGTTTACCCAGTATGCCCATCCCTACTCCCACCCCTCATGCCTACTTCCTCTGCCATCACAAGGGCTCTGCCTGAGTGAGGCACATGCCACTTGGGTCAGCAATGCTGGCCATCCATGACCCTGTACCCTTCTCTCAGGTTAACTGAGCACAGCCTGAGGCGGAGAGAGGTGCCCACCTATGATGAGGCAGTCATTGCCCCCAGCCATGAACATGGACTCAGTCTTGGAAGGCAGGTTGAAGTGCCGAGTGGCCAGGAATGGTGAGAGGCGGTCAGCAGGGTCTGAGGATGAGGACGAGGACAAGGACATGGAGCGGCCGAGCAGGGATGGAGAGGTAGTGGTCTCCAAGGACACTGGCTTGGTCAGCTCCGGGTGTTTAATGACCACCCACTCGTAACGCTGGACCTCGGGCTGCAGCTGAGGGCAAAAGGGCAGCATGAGAAACTGGTCCATGGCACCCCACAAGGCCCCTTTTCCCCACTTTCCTCCCACAAAGCTTCACTGGAGCCCTCTGTGTGTGAGGCCCTGTGCTGGGCTGGGGAGACAGGGCCACACAGGGCAAGTAAGAGCCTGTCTGCTCTCATGGAGCTCATGGTCTAATGATTACAAACCAGAAGGAAACGGGAGGTTATCCTGTAGGGTAACTGCAATGACGACAGTAAACAGAGTCACGTGAGCGGAGGTGATGGGGGTGCTGGGCCTGGTGACCTCAGAGCTCCTGTAGGTAGACCTACTCACCCTAAACACAAAGCACTCTCCAGTCCCAAAGAAGCCCAGTTTGCCTCCAAACTTATTTCTCTCGCTCCAGTCTGTTGACAGGTAAGCTCCACACACCTGGGGGGAAAGGCCCAGAGTGAGGCTGTGCCCTGCGGGCCTGAAGGAGTGTCCCCTCGTTCAGGGCCTGCTGAAGGGCTGTGGTACGGTCAAAGCTGGCAGGGGTGGGTGGTGGTGGTTTGCAGCACTCCCCACCCCGACTTGAGGGCAAGGGCTGGAGGTGGACTGAGGTGTGGGGAGACAGAGTTTGGAGTGCATAAGACTGGCAGTGGCAGTTTGCGAGGGTTTGGGGGTGGGAGTAAGAGGGCTTCCCAGGCCGTCATCATCTCGTTTGGGATATTTTCCTTTCATTTCCCTCCTTGGCCCTCAAACATGGGAACAAGCCACATGTCCACACTCTGATTTTGGGCATCAGCCTCAGGAGGCCCCTCAAATGGAAGCTTCCAGGAGGTATGGCTACTCAACAACATTCCCCAACACCCTGTCAGCCAGTAAAGTGCTTGATTTCATCATTAGAATCAAGACCCTGTAGTGGCTGCAGGGTTTGCCCAAAGTGCCTGACAACCAGAGTGACCTGCTATGACACAGATGCCCAGATTCCTCCTGGAGACCCAGACACTGATTCTGTAATGGGGTGAGGAACCTAAAACTGCCATGGTGCAGGTTTGGGAGCCACTGAACAGGAAGCCTCTACCACATGCAGAAGACCCCAGGATGGGGTGCATGAGCTCCAACCTCCCTAGATGTCTCAGGGGACTTTTCAGGGGACAGCTACTGCAGAGAGCAAGGACCTGAGAACTACCTGTCAGGGGGTAGAGGCAGGTAAAGGAAGCTGACTCACCTGGCACTGGCCCACTGTGGCAGGAGGAGGCGGGGCCTTGCTCACTAGGCATTTCTGCAAAGCTCCTCTAAGCTCCTCTAAGCAGCCAGGCTATTTCAGGAGGGCCTCAATCCCCAGGGGAAAGAGGGAGGCCCTGGGTACTTGGGGGTCAGATGGAGAGGCTGGATTCACTTCTCTGTGGAGGGCAGCTCTGCTCTGTGCCCCTAGGTGCAGAAAGGCTGGTGGAGGCTGCCAGGGTACCCACCTTTCCTGGGGCACAAGAGCAGCAGACTCCCCAGAACTCAGAGGCCAGGACTCCAGGCTCCCTCTGGTCCCTACTCACCTCCTTTTGTGTGGTCTTGATGAGCAGGAGGGTGGGCTCGTGTCCTTCACACTGGAAATAGAACCTGGCAGAAAAGATCACACTGCCAGTCCTAATGGCAGCAGTTATCCTGCACCCCTTCCCCACACCACCTCGAGCCAGCCTCCGCTGAGCAACGCCCACAGCGTCTGAGCAACCCAGGCTGTCTAGGGGTGGATGGGCCTGGGAACTGCGTTTCCTTATCTCCTGGGGACCAGGCATGATGGTCAAGGACCTGGTGACACTGGCCTTGAGCACTCTTCTAAGCCAAGATGGAGCTCCAGCCAGGCAGCCTGGAGGCTGAGCGGTCAGCTGCCCCAGGACTATCTGCTCTGGTATGAGGCGGGAGAGAAGAAGCATGGCAAATAGCCTCCAGCAGGCAGAGCCACATGCCAGGTACTTCAGAGAAGAAACAGAGGAACAGGTCCCTGCTCTAGGAAAGCTTGGAACATCCTCTTGAGTCCCAGCACGTGGGAGCCAGGTGGCAGAAGGAAGCAAGTGAGGTCTGAGGCTGCCATTGTGGTGGTGTCAGGTGCCCAGGGCTTGGCTGATGGCCTCAACAACTCTGCTTGGCCATCACTTAGTGGACACCCCCATAGAGGTGGGGGCTGGGTGAAAGCAGCTCCAGCTGTGTCATAACGTTCATGGGGCTTCAGCTGGTACGTGCCCTGTGGGCTGGGCCAGCTCTGCCTGTGTCAGTTCTGCCAGGTCACCTGTGATTCAAGCCAGAGCTTCTGAAGCCACCTGCCATCTGAGGCTCCAGGGGAGGCGGCACCTAACAAAGCTGCCAGAGAGGCAATGTGCCCTGGGGAAACCTGGCACAGCCCCAGCTCCAGAGGGCTGACCTGTTCTCTCTGTGGACTGACAGAATGTGGGGCGGGGGGTAGAGAACCACAATCTGTTGCCTCGAGTCATCGTTTGCTACACTTATGTAAGCTCCTGGTGGAAACTCTGCCTCCCATGTCATCACAACGCCTACATGGAGACCTGGCGCTGTGGCGTGTATGGCAATGACCCCTGAATTTGGGTCACCTGGGAGTGAGAAAGAAGCCCAGAAAAGGAACTCCCGGAAGAGGCAGGGCATCATCCAGGTGCCCGGGTTCAAAGTCCCATTTCCAGCATGACCTCCTGGAAGCACTCCTGGCAGGGTGAGAAGCTGGGCAACTTCATGGCTCCCTCTGCCCCTCCTTCACCATCTGGCCCTCGGAGACCATGCCTCAGGGCCTCAGGGAGGCAGGCCCAGCCTCCCTTGGCCTCCTGGGCATTACCTGGTCAGGCTGTACCCGTGCTGCAATGAGGAGAAGAGCAGGAGGGGCTGACAGAGGGCGAACCGCTCAGGGATCCATGACCAGATGTCTCTCATCTCCTTCACACTGACAATTTCTGAGTGGAAGTTCTCTGCGTGGACAGCCAGGTGCACAAACTGCCTGGGGAAAGCAGGGAGAGGTTCAGAGCAGCTGCAACCCCAGCCCTGACCACACCCCCCACCCCGGGAGCTAGGCCTGGAGGAAACGTCTCATCTATTCAGCCACGTTAGAGCCTGGTCCTAGGTACCCTCAGGAAGAAATGGTGGAGCTGTTCCCTGGGGCCCCACTCCCATCCCATTACTAAGAGGGGAGAGCGCCCAGCCCAGGTAGGGTCAAAAAAGCACTTTTTCTCTGGGAAATGGGGACAGAAAATGAGTCAGCTCTGGCAAGACAATGGTTCAGGGCCAGCCAAGCACCAGCAGAGAGCACAACTGAGGCAGCCGAGCAGACAGACAGACAGAAGGACAGACAGATGGTGCCTGAACATCAGCTAGGCTCTGAGGCAGCACAGCTGAAGTCAGCCCTGAGAGCCAGCACAAGCAGCCAGGCCCCGGGATAGCCAGGCCAGAAGACAGAGAGAAGCCAGGCATGGAGACGTGGTTTCCAGACCTACCTTTTAGAAAGTGAAACACTGAAAAACAGGAGGAAGCAATGGACATGGAGAAGAAGAAAAATAAAACAGACAAGAAGAGGTTAGTGGCAAGTACTGATGTCCAGGACGCGCCTGCCTTTGGCCCAGAACAAAGGCCTGCACGCCTACAGTCAGCGTTTGCTGCCGAGATGGTCTCAGGATACTGTGGGCCCTTTGCACCCCTGCTACCCAGTGTGCTGTGCTCAGGCCAGTGGGGCCATGCCCAGCAGCCACAAGAATGGCCAGCGAAGGATCCCAGAGCTGCAGGGGCAGAGCAGGGGCTGTAGTGAAATAACGCAGCCTGCCCAGCTCACTGCAGGATCTTCTGTCCCCAGAGTCAACACCCAGCTTTCATCTCTGCCATGGGCCTGGGGCCTGAGGACAGGAGCCAGCACATTCTGTGCCCACAGCTGCTTCAGCAGCCTGCGGCTGGAGCCAGGAAGGCCCTCTCTCTTTCCCGTGGTTTTCTAGCCACTCACAGATGGCTGGCTGGCAGCAGGCAGACCAAGAGGCTGGCAGGACAAGCCGCTGTCGCAAGCCCCCAGGATGTATTCCACTAACGCACCACCCTACGAGGGCCCCTGGCATCCTGCGCAGAGGCCAGCTACGCTGCAGCCCGGGGGCCTGCCTACCTCTTTTGCTTGACGGTGATGCCCTTCTGCTTCAGAGCTTTCTCGTTGGCCATCTGCAGGAGCTGGATCTCCTTCCGAGAGAAGAGGCGGATAGCGAATGCTTTCTCCAGCAGCTTCTCAGGAGACACGGTCTTGGCAATGTCCTTGACAAAGGTGCGGATGTCCTGCTTCACATTGTCTGACTCAAGCGGCTGCCCGGCTCGCACCTTGTGAAAGAACTTGAGGATTGCCAGTGCAACGCGGTACAACACCTTGTAACCTTCCACCAGGAAGACATCAAAGACTCGAGCGAAGTAGTTGAGGGGCAGCTCCCCAAACAGCCATCGCTGCCAGTCCGCGTAGACCTGCAGGACGTCCTCCGACACGGCCACCATCAGCTTGTGGGCTGCCTGGCAGTACTTGTTCACCAGGTCGCCAAATGTCATGCAGGAGGACTCAAAGGCCAGAAAGCTCTGGTCGATCAGTTTCTTGCTGGGGTCGTTGCAGGCCAGGATGCGGCAAGCCTTCTCGAAGCACTCAGCCTCATCGATGCTGTAGTGCAGCAGCAGGGCCACGACTGCGGGCAGGGCGGGACAGAAGGAGATGTCAGGGAACTGATTGGCAATGCAGAGCAGGATCTTCCGCACGGCATCCTCACCCCGTGCATTTAGGCAGTAGCTGGGCACCTGCGTGTTGTCCACAAACTCGGGCAAGGGTAGGCTGCTGCTGCTGTGCTTGCCCACGATCTTGCCCACGATATCACTGTACACACTGGCATCGGGCGTGACCGTACGGCAGGGGATATCCCGGATCAGGCGCTGGTACACCTTCCCTCGCAAGGCATGGCTGTGGGCCCAGTAGCCCTGGCGTGCCAGCTGCTTCAGCTCCTGCAGTTCGGTGCAGCTCAGCTCCTTGGGCCCCAGGTCCTGGATGGCAGTGTTCATCTTGTCTCTGTCCACAAAGCAGTTGTACCCCAGGGAGTCCATAGTGCAGGGTGTGCCCAGGCAGAGGACCCTGGGCTGCCAGGAGGGGGCAAAGAGCAGCTAAATCCTCCAGCCCCCTCTCCGAGGCTTTTCTGCTAACATGTTTGCCATCCCATACTCTGTAGGATTAAAAAACATACTTAATACACGTGTATGAAGTTTCAAATTTTAAGAACATGTTTTTGTTTGAATCTTTCTATAAAGTATTATAAGGGGTTCCAATGAAGATAAATGGATATTCGGAGAATTTTCTATTCTCTATTCTCGTTTGGAGTCTAACTTTGTTTTTTTGGACACAAATTTTTTTTAAAGATTTTTATTGGGGAATTGGGGGATGGGGAACAGAGAAGTTGTCCTTTTTGTTCTTCAGTCTAGTTGTGGAGGATGTTGCTTCACTGGCCCAAGTTGGCACCATCATTGCGCTCTTCCTGGGCGAGGCAGATTAGTTGCCGGCTTCTGGACGGCCGCTCACTGCGACTGCTGGCCGCTCACTCTGGCTGCTGGCTACACACAGTAGCCCATGGCAACACACTGCAGCAAGGGCTGCAGCCTATGCCATCGCCTGCGACTCACAGCAGCCCAGCTCCAGGTTGAGCTGTTGTTCAGCATCTTAGCTGTAGAGGGCAGTGTCACTGGCCCTCATATGTGGGATCCGAACCAGGGTCCTCTGGCGTCCCGAGCCAGTTCTTAACCAATGCACCACTCGGCTGGCCTGGAGTCTAACTTCTTTTCCTGGGGCTTATAAAGTAACTGGAGGGCTCGCTGAGTGGCACGTTGGTTAAAAGCTGGCTTGGGACGTCAGCTCTGAGCAGCAGGGCCCCGGTTCAGATCACACATGAGGACCAGTGACGCTACGCCCTCTACAGCTAAGATGGTGAACAACAGCTTGACTTGGAGCTGGGCTGCCATGAGTCACCGGCAACTGCGTAGGCTGCAGCCCCTGCTGCAGTGGGCTGCCATAAGCTACTGTGTGTGGCCAGCAGCCAGCGTGAGTGGCTGGCAGCTGGTGTGAGCGGCCAAGAGCTGTTGTGAGCGGCTGTTCAGAGGCCGGCGACCGATCTGCCTCACCCAGGAAGAGCACAATAATAATACCAACATGGGCCAGTGAAGCAATGTCCTCCACAACTAGACTGAAGAACAAAAGGACAGCAACTTGTCTGTTCCCCTCCCGATTCCCCAGCGCTGTTCCCCTCCCCCAATTCCCCAACAAAAGCTTTAAAAAAATAATAAAATAATAAAAAAAAGTAACTGGAGTAGGTCACACAGATTATGAGTAATGAGTGACTAGAAATGAGCTCCCGGGAGGGCTTCAAGAGCCTGACCCTGCTGAACACAACTCTATGCCCATCAGGCTCCCACACAGCACCACCCTGTAGCCTATGAGCCTTCTGAGAAGGGACTGCTGGTTACAAAGACCCATTTAAGTCAAGAGATGCTTTGTTTCAGTTCACGAAGGCGTTAAGCCTTTACCAGCTGTGTATCATGAGGAAGACACACACCTATTCTGACCCAACGTCCCCAGGTAAGAATTCAGAAGTCAGCTCTTAGCTTTCTAAAAATGCCAGCTAGGTTTCAGGCCGGCACTCCAGGGGAGGATCACAGGTGGAGAGTAGACATGAGGGCTGAGAAATAAGTGAAGCTGCCTCAGCTTCAAAATTAGACATTTCTGGGTCCAAACGAGTCAGAAATACTGGGGAACTTGGTGCTGCTTCCCCATTAGGGGCAACTACTGAAATTCAGGCAGATATTAAAAAAACAATAAAATGTGCTGTTTAAGGCCCTCTGTCACTGCAGGTGGACAGCAAGCTAGAATTCTACTGTTCAGGATACCACAATTTAACATCTGTTTTTGCTAAAAGCTACTGTCCTCTGCATAAAAGTACAATAGCCTTCCCACGCACCTCAAACTAATCTTTCCATCTGGGATGGTTGGTACAAGTGTCTGGAGATGTCACAAAGGTCTGCTTCAGTGAGCTTTGGTAAATGACCAGATCATTCCAGTTTCTCTTGAGTCTAGAACATCCATCTGAAAATACAGAAAGCAAAGACCTTAAGAACATTGAGGAGAAAGAATTATAGTGTAAAACCTGTATTGTGAGATGTCTTGAGAAAGCACTTCGATATGGTGGGGGTTTTTTATTATGGTAAAATATACATAACAAATTTACCATTTGAATCATTTTAACTATACAGTGGCATTAAGTACATTCACGTTGTTGTGCAGCCATCACCACCAGACATCTCCAGGACATTTTCATCTTCCCAAACTGAAACTCTGTGCCCATTAAACACTAACTCCCCATTCCCCCTCCACCCTGGCAACCACCATTCTACTTTCTGTCTCTAAGAATCTGACTACTCTAAGTACCTCATATTAGTGGAATCATACAATATTTGTCCGTTTGTGTGTATGGCTTATAAAAAGGTCATAATGTCCTTTTTAAAAATTTAAGACTTTATTTTTTAGAGCGTTTTAGGGTCACAGCAAAATTGAGAGGAAGATACAGAGATTTCCCACATGCCCCCACATATACATAGCCTTTCCCATTATCAACATTCCCCACCATGAGTGATACATTTGTTACAATTTATGAACCTACACTGACACATCATAATTGTCCATAATCTACAGATTAATGAGAGTTCACTCTTGGTGTTGTACATTCTATGTGTTTAGCCAAATATAAAATGATATGTATTTGCACTGCAGTATCATATAGAGTGAGTCCTAAAAAATCCTCTGTTCCAACTATTCACCCCCGACCGTCTCCATTTATCAGAATTCCATTCCTTTTTATGGCTAAATAATATTACATTGTATGAACAGAACACAATTTATTTATCCATTTACTTGTCAATGGGCATTTGGATTGTTTTCACTGTTTGGCTATTGTGAATGCTGCTGCCGCGAACAAGTATCTGTTCGGGTCCCTGCTTCCAGTTCCTTTGGATATACAGTATTTCCATTGATTCTGTTTTTATAGGGGCTTCCCCATAGAAAACCTTAATTAAAATAAAATAAGGTTTTCCAACAACATCCATTTAATGTGTCCCACTGGAAAAGCCTTGCCCACAGCAGAACCAGGCCTGCTGCCAGTGCTGAAACCTTCTTCCTCAGAAGAAAAAAACCCTCATGGGAGTCAATTTGTTAGCTGTATCCTGGGAGGGAAAGCAGTGAGGATTCCCTTCTTTCCCAGGTTCTGAAGGCCGGCCGACAGGCCCACTCACATCCCCGCAGCCATGCCTAGGCCATACTCCACAATCTTCCATGTGCAAATTACCTACAGAGTTTAAATCTTTCATTCTAGGATCTGAGCCCACTAACCTCTGGAGGGACCCCAGGTCCATCCTGTTTGTGTAAAAAGAACCAGATCCTTTTCAGGGCAATAAATGTGTTTATAAACAGAACAAGAGCAGGGCAGGATAGCGCCAACCCTCACTCAACTGGCATCAAATTCGGGTTGAATATTAAACTGGAAACTCCAAAAGCAATTATTATACTTTGCAAAGCTCCTTCAAGGTGTTGTTTATTGCAGCAAGCTGCCCAGGAATCCGCTGGATTCAGAGGGACGCCAAGGCAAGGACACGTGCAGGAGACCCTGAAGGAGCCCCTGGACCTTCAGGCCTCCTTTCCAAGCCCCCATCCAAAAAGAGAGTATGGCATTCCTCAGGCAGGGCAAACAGTCTTGCAATGACCTCCTCAGGCATCTACAAAACCAGGTCCAGGGTGGTTCCCTTAGGTTACTTTTTACACAAATGTCAAAGAATACACAATTACAGAGTAAAAATGTAAAATCCTGTTTACGTTATCCCTTCAGTCCTACTCCTTCTTCCACCTCAGATAATCAATCACTGCTCATATGTTAGTGCATAAACTGCAAAGCCTTTTCTTACATTTACACATTCACAGCTGAGATAGATAGTTAAGGCTGGCTACTGGGAAGGGAGGCGGGAAACAGGTCAAAACCAAAAATCATCCAGGTTGGGTGTTCACACCCTGGAGGTAAGTTTTAGAGTTAAAGTGATGCTCTCTCCTGGTTATTCCACCTGCAGTGTGCGGCCATCCTACAACATTGTCTACACCACCTGTCCCCACACATGAAACAAGGTTTCCCCTGTTCCCCACAAAGGTCAGGGGAGAGAATGGAGGCAGGAGCTAATGTGGGAAATGATCCAGTTTCAAGTCAGGCAGGCCTAGCTTCAAAGTCCAGCTCCACTGCTCGTTTGCCTGAACCTCAGACAAGCCATGGCTCTTCCTCAAATGGCAGGTGTGTCTGTAAAACAGAGCTGACAAACCCAGTCCATTTCACCCAGCGTTAATGCAACACTGGAGGGCTGAGCTCTTCCTCTAGGATCACTGGCTGGGATGTGGGTGACTTCCCACTCCCTCTCACTCGCGCTCACCCCAGATCAAGCAGCCCAGAGCAGGTGGCCAGCCAGAGCCCTGCCAGCAGGTGCCTGGGAAAACCACTTTCCCTCAGCCTCGGGAGTGGGAGGGAGGGAATGATTTCTCACCACAAACACTGCACTCACCTAAAGGCCACCCCTCCCCAAGTTCACTGTCAAGGAATGGGGGGGGGGAGGGGAGCCAAGCTGGTTCTCTGAGGCTGGTTCTCTGAGGTGGCACCTCTCCATCAGCCCTGTGGGAGGGGGTTGGCCCCACCTCTCTGCAGCTCCCTGAATTTGAAATGGTGACCCTTGAACAACACAGGTTTGAGTGAACAACAAGTCCACTTATACAAGGATTTTTTTTCAGTACTGTAAATGTATTTTCTCTTCCTTATGATTTTCTTAATAACATTTTATTTTCTCTAGCTTACTTTATTGTAAGAATACAGCATGTAAATATATATACCATACAAAATATGTGTCAATCGACTATTTATGTTATTGGTAAGGCTTTCAGTCAACAGTAGGCTATTAGTAAAGTTTTTTGGGTTTTTTTTTGAAGAAACAGCTTAGGGAAGAATCATAAACAGGAGATAACAAAGCTTATACTTTAAGGAATGAAAATGATTCTTGTCTTTAGTTGTCATCAGATAAAGTTTTTGGGGAGTCAAAAGCTACATACGTGGATTTTCGACTGTGTGGGTGGGTGGTGGTGGGGTGTCCCCTGATTTCTCTTCAGGAGTGCCCCTTAGTCCCCATGTTGTTCAAGGGTCAACTGTACTTTGTGTCTTTTGTCCTCAGCTTTGGGCCTAGCCTGCAATTCTGGGGAGAAAGGAAAAATGCCACTCAACATCCTGTTAGACTCACAGGAATTGCAGACAGTGATCATTTCAGGTAGTGGGAACACCACAGAGTGCGTCTGGAGGGTGGGGGCTACTTTAGCTAGGGTCGTCACGATGGCTCTCACCCAATTTAAGCAGCCAGAGAGATGAGGAAAGGTCACACTGGAGAGGAGCAGGTGCAAAGGCCTTGAGGCAGGAACAGGCCCAATGTGCTCCAGAAAGAGAAGGGCACCAGTGTGGCCAGAGCACAGTGAGCGAGGGCAAGAGCAGCAGAGACCCACGGCCTGGATCGTGCACAGGGAGAGGTTTGGGTTTTATTCTAAGCTCAGTGGGAAGCAGCGAATGGATGTGATCCAACGGATGTGTTTAAAAGCCAATTGTTGTTAGGATTAACTGTGACTGTTTACAGAAAGCACTCAGCCTAGCCTGGCATGCCAGGGCAGCTCAGGTGTCCCGAGGACCTCTCACTGTTACTGCTCCTTGGGGGTCCCTGAGGATGGCACTGGCTCAGAGATATCTGGGGAGTGACAGGGTTCCAATGGGTCAACGCCTGATCAGACCTATAGAAGGGCCTAAGCATGCCCCCTCCTCATGGGAGAGGTGCAGCCACAGGAGGCTGCCACCAAGGTTCTCCCCCAGGCCCACGCAGGTCTCCTGCTCTCTCTCAGGGGTGGTCCCTCCAACTGGCCTCTCTGACAGATCTGTTTCTCCTTCCCTGCTATAATGCTGCTTCCCACCCAGTAAGCCCTTTCCGGTGACCCCCACATCCCTTTTCTTTACAAATACTGTACCTGTTTTGAGAGTTCAGGTTACCCAATAGGAAGCAACTATTTCTTAAAAAGAATAACATTAAGTGGAAATGAGTGACCTCTACTTCCCCAAAATATTATCTTGTTATGTCAGTGATACCTCTGTCCAGCTCATGACCAATGCTCCCTATGGCCAAAGTACACTATCCTGGGTCTGCCAAGGTTACATGGTGAGACCCAATGTATTAGGGGCCCCATTCAGCGGCTACAGGCCCACAGCACCACAGAGAACCCCCCAAAGTATGCACACGGAAACAGGGTGGTGGCCAGCGGGGTGGGAGGAGCCCAGGACCCCCTGCACCAGCTGGCTCTGCATGCAGCCCTTCAAGATTTCTGAGCAGGAGCAGAGTGGGAGGGAAAGCAAATACAGAAGGAAGGACTAGACCTCACTGTGGACAGTGGGGCAGGAGACAACAGGACCAAGCAGCTGGGGTTCAATAGGACCCCCTCTAACCTTATCCTTAGGGACCAGTGAACATAAATCCCCCAGCTGCTAGCTTCAGGCGACTTGGCTTCGCATTTCTATATCCTTTAATCCTGAGGACAACCTCATGGTGCAGGGATTTGCTCCACTTTATAGATGAGGAAGCTGGGATACATCGAGGTACCTGGGGATCCCCAAGCACAGAGAGAACCATCACTGGTCTGTCAGCCTCCAGAGTGCTCATGGCAACCCCACAGTGCCCGAGAGCCCTCTCCCACACAGGACAGCCAGCCCCACCCCTGCTCTCTCCTCCGCAAGTTCAGGGCTGGCTTCTCAATGCTATGCTGCTGTCCCAAAACACCACCCCAAGTCTGATGAGTCATGAGACCTCTGCATTGAAAACAAACTCACTTTCATGTGACATAGACCCTCACATTATGCCTGGCGATTCCATCTTAACCACCTGTGCTGCGCCTCCCGTCCAGGCCACCTTTCTTGAGGGGGCCCAGTACCCCATCACAACTCCCTTTGCCCTAAACTTTTATTCATTTGACAAACTTCT